GTGCTTCTCCCAGGGTGTGAAATCTCCACAGAAAGCTCTGTCAAAACAGTGCAGTCCATGCAGTATAAGAGAAGCGGCTGGGCTGTTGACCTTTATTCTGACTATAAACATTTTCTGAACAGTGCTGGAGACAGAGGGATAACTAAGTACCACTCAATCAAGTGGCTTTTTTCAGGTTACAAACCAGCACTCTATGCCAAGGCAGCCCCTTGTGAGTCTGGTGGTATTCCTTGGTCATGCAGCTCAGCTCATCACCCACTTTGCCCCCAGCAGCACTTACCACAGTGCAGAAACCAAAAAACTGCTTGGAGCATGCTGGCTGTGGTGCAGAGAGGTCTTGGCGTCCCTGGAGCACATCAACCAAGTCCCCATCAGGATGGAGTGGTCCTGCTGTCATTCTTCTCCATCTTCCCTTCTGTCCATTCATCTTTTGCAGTCTTTAGTCCTTAGCCAGTAGTTATTGCTTATTCATGTATGATGTCTGGTGGTAGCTTCCTTAGCACTTACCTCTAGTGCCTTGTTTCAGCCCATCACACCTGGTGTTAATGCTGGCATTTCCACTTGGTTGCCCGGGGTCCTATTTCAGCAGCTTTTTACAGCATTTTGTTTTGGGCTCTCAGGCTTTGCACCCATGCATTGGACAGAGAATATCACTACTGAGTCATGACTGGCACCTTGGCATAGGCTAAGTCAGCTCTCACTTTACTCCTGTCTGTCAAGGTTTGCTTCAAACCCCTATGAGCCACTCCAAGTGACTGTAGTCATGCTGATGACTATGCTTCATTAAGCACTAGAAAATTAGCACCAAGCCACATTGGATCAGTGAGCCCCGTTGCTTGGGTCCATGGTTCAGTGGCTGCTGGGTCCAGCTGCGCTTGATGCCATACTGAGAGCACAGGCCCATGCCATCGAGTGTGTTGAAAAGTGGCTTTGTGGGATTGTGTAATATTAAGGGTTGTAGCAGCCAGAGGCTGGCTGATGGGAGGAACTGGAGGTGTGCCTTGAACTGTGCTAGTTATGGAAGCAAACTTGGGATTTGCAGTTCAGTTGGAAGCTGCCAAAAAGAGCATCATTGCATTGATCATGACTAGTTTGGGGCTCCAGAATCAGAGGCTGTTGTTGTTTACAGCAACTTACAAGGACTCACTGAGTAGCCCAGTAATGCAGCAGCGATTGTGTTAATGTGGTGTACCCACATAGCCACATAACAGCATGTGTGTTTGTAGGTGGATAGACACAGAAGAAGGGTTAAGTAGGTCCAGCACATTTTTTCGAGGGGGTCTCTGTGCCCACTGTCCCCACAGGTTTCATAATATCACCCATGTGCCTAGTGTCTCCTCCAGTGATGTAATCTTCAAATACTGGGAGTTACTACAGGGGTTCTCTCCATAGATTTGGATATCTGCTTGGTATATTTTCCAATCCCCTGGGCTGAAGGGGAAGTCCACTCTGGAAACAGAAAATGGCATTCATCTTACTCATAGTGCTGGCATCCCTCCCAGTGGTTCTCCCAAATGGCCTGATGTTGCAACAGGGATCCTTGCTCCATTAGACATATCAGCCAGGCATTCCTCATCCCAGGTTACCACTTGGAGTACTACTTGCATAGTTTGTGTTAGAGACCCAGTGAGATCAGCAGGGTCAGTCATACTGCTAATACCCCGTTTTCTGGTTGTAGCAAGTCAGTGCGTTTAGGTAGGGCTCCTCTAGTTGGATACGCTGCTGGCTTGATTACTTGATCTACGTTTTCCCCTACTGCTTCTACCTTCTGCAGGGTTGATACCCCATGCCTGTGTTAGAAGTGTTGCATAGGGCTCTTCTGTTGCGTGTTTCCTCCACCTTAAGTATCATAGGCCACTCCCAGTGCAGAAGGCTCTCAGCAACACTAGCTCCCTTGGTGCAGTTTGGGGTAGGGATCACGCATGAACCAGGATACATGTCAGCATGGGCTCCAAGCAGGGACACAGTCCACAACAGGAGGACCTTTCCTCCTCTTTATCTACCCTCCAGGGCATTCTTGGATTGGCTTGGGCAGGACAGTGCTTGCATCCTATAATTGTCAATTAATATTTAACCAAAGTAGACTCCTGCATATAGCGCTGTCACAGGGGTAGGTGATACTTTTGCACCTGAATTGCAAGCAGTTTAAAAATTATGTGCCTACTTGGGTAGTTATCTCTTCAGGTAATACAGAGTTTTGTTTCTCCCTTCTTAAATGGGGGACACTTACTCTCATGGCTGCACTGGCAGTGTACCAGGCTTGGGATAAGTATGAGGCTGAAAGCTGCAGACAAGAATGCCCATGTAGAGGTTGGGCATCCCTGTAAGAGTCTTCTGTCCCCTTCCTGATAATCGACCATTGCATGAATTTCATTAAGGCCTAGTATGCTTCCCTGACGGTTGTATTTGACTGTCCATAGCCAATTGACTGTCTCACTGTGTCATACTGTTGCTACAAGGTTTGGGCCAGGAGTGTCTGACAGATGTGTGAGCTGAGGTATTCGCAGTAGAATGAGAAGGGTAATTTGAAGGTGAGAGTGGAGAATGGCACAGCTAGAACCATCACCTCAGGGCCATTTTCTTCCCTGACTGGGTTATAAGCTAAGAAACATATTTTCTGTGCAAGAAACCTAGAAACTACCCAGTCCCACAGCAGTGAATGCCTCCTGCCAACCCCCTCTCCATCTGTATCCATGACAGCGCCAAACTTGTACTTCAGCTTCATGTGAGTTATCTTGTTTGACTGAGTCTATAGCAAGGTGTCTACCCCTTCTTGCTTTTAAGGAATGTAGTCCATCAATCACCTTGACCTGGACCTTGCTCAGTAGGGCAGTATTCATATGATGTGGGCAGACCAGCCTGCCCTGCAACAGAGCTGGGTGGTGCGTGCATCCAACGGACACTTCAAGCTACCCCTCTCCAGTAGGTATGGCTCATAGTGGGTATTTGGGTACCTGCTGCAGTGGTGATGACAGAGGAGTGCAAGAAGGGTGCACTTACCATTGGTGTCACAGGAATATGGGGCTTCTTGGTGCAGAGTCCTGCCTTGTTCAGGTCCCATATAGAGATGTATAGATAGCAGCCATCCTTCCATCATATCTCTTGACAGTCAATGGTCTCTGAGATTGTTGCCTTTAGCATGTATATTTATATTTAAATAAAAGTGTAATTCACTTTTCCCAGTCCCAAACTCTGCAGTTTATAGGATCCTGCATCCCTGTGCCACTCTCATTATGAGAAGGTACAAGATTGCCTGCCTTCATTACTCTTTTCCCAGTCTATACTGTTTTACTGGAGCCATCGATGAAAAAACGTATACTTCTGATGCATCACTGTTTCGTCATGGAGGCGAGCCTCTAGGATGTGCCTGCTTTGGGGAGGGGTCCATGTCCCTACTTACATGCAGATGCACTGTGTTTCAACAGGTTTTTGCACTAACAGAGTAAAGATCCTGCTGCCTGCATCTCCTTTTTATGTGGTGCTTCTGTTGAGAATATGAAGGTGCACCTTTGCTAGGCAATGTTTTCCTCTCTTCTGTTAACAGAGTCAATGCCGCCATGCGTGGGCTGGGTACACGTGCTGCCTGGTCTCCCACCAGGCTTCCTGGCTGTTGCAGTGCTCATTAGGGAAATGTGGCACTGAGCCTTTGCCTAAGGAGCTGTTCCTATCTCAGCACCTGACCAGCTGAGAGTGGATGTACCACCCCCCTGGCCAGTTGCAATGCTTTGGGTATTGCCTTTCCCAATACTTGCAGCTCCTGGGGGATTTGTAGGAGTCCTTCTGGAGATGGACCAGGGCTGGGTGTGTGACACTGGTCTGTTACGTGGGTGGGCACTTAGAAGTTCAGTACAGAAAGAATCATCCTCTTAGGTATTACTGCAGAGGAAGTGAGTCCTCAAGTCTTGATTTTTGGCACAATGAATGAGAAAAAAAAATGTCGATACTGCAATGTATTTTATGTGTTTAAGAGACAATCATTATTAATACAATATAAGGACACCACACAGGCTTCTGACAGTCTGACCCTCCATTAAATCATCGAATTCAGTAAAGCAGATCACACTGAAGAATTTAGTCCATGGGAAGTTTAAAGATTTCAAAATTATTTTTTTTTCCAATTCATGCTGAAAAGCTGAAATCTGAGAACACTTTAGAACACGTTCAATTTCACCATCCTTGAAGAGGTTCATTCTGTTAGTATCAAAACATTTCATTGACTTTGACATTTACTTGAATAGTTTATCACTGGTAGAGCATATATCAAGTGACAAATGAAATAGGTATTTGAACTTCATAAAAAATGTATTAATATTTCCCTTGAAAATTAACGTAATACTTATATTCTGACCTATTTCTATTCTGTCTAATCAGCATCTTGTGATAAATACTTCCATGATAAATTTTTCAAAAGCTCTGATAATAATAATTACCCCTTAGAAGCAGTAATAAAGCAGGCATTCAGCCAAGAAGGATAGCTCATCCTGGTACCACAGGAAATTCATCTTTCTGTCATGCCCCAAAACCTTATTGATAGGTGGCTTTGGCAGTACTAACCGCTGTTGATGTGAAAAGACAACAATTAATATTTATAATCACAAAACTGCTTTAAAGAAACCTCATCCTTTTGCTGCTTTGCTGGGACGAACTGGTGTAACCTTTCTATAGTAGCTTCCTCCACCCATTAATATTTGTATGATGACATGCTTTTATTTTCCTTGGTTTTGACAGGGCTTATGCAATATTGAAAGATATGCTGGAGTGCTACCAGGCATCAGCAGACACCTACAGAGATACATACATATCTCATTTGTTTTTCCCCAAATCAGTGTCCATGATGATGTAAACCATTCAAAATTCTCCCTGATCTCTGAGGGTCCTGGGCACGTGCCCTGAAGCGATGAGCAGAGCAGCTTGCGTGTGTCTAATGCTTTTGAGCCATAAATGGACAAACTTAATGACAACTGATGTGTGACAAAGCCTTTTCTCTCTTTCCCAAACAGCTTATAAGCCAGAGGATTACCCAGATCAATTTGATGAGGTAGTGGACTTTATTCAAGCCACCATTAAAAGACTGAGGAGGTCACCAGATAAACAGGCTCCGATATTTTCTAGGCGGGAGAGAAACCGACAAAATGCAGCCACAAACATAGAGAATTCCAGCAAAAAGGGAAGGAGGAGTCAAAAGGGCAAAAATCGAGGATGTGTCTTAACTGAAATACATTTAAATGTGACTGACTTGGATTTGGGATACGAAACCAAAGAAGAGCTAATTTTCCGGTATTGCAGTGGATCTTGTGATGCAGCTGAGACGACTTACGACAAAATTTTAAAAAACTTAACCAGAAAGAAAAAACTAGTCACTGACAAAGTGAGGCAAGCTTGTTGCAGACCCACAGCTTTTGATGATGATCTGTCCTTTTTGGACGATAACCTGGTTTACCACATACTGAAAAAACATTCCGCAAAAAGGTGTGGATGCGTCTGACAGCTGCACGCCAGAGGCAGCGCCAGTTTTGCATTCCTGCTACGATGCAAAGAGAGGGACCAAGGTTCCTGGGGAAAGCGTCTGCTCAGTGCGGAGAAAAGAGGACCAAGAAAGGAGAAAAAGGGGTTATGAGAGCCCAGGGGCTGGGAGAAAGGCGGAACAGGAGGATGGAGGCTTTTGACATCCTACAGGAGAATAAATAAAAGCTCAAGTGGAGATGCTGATGGCTGGATGATGTGCACGCTCTCTTTCCCACCATCAGTGAGACTCAGATCCATGAGGAATGTGCTTAAAAACACAACCCTGCCATACCATGCTGTGTTGTAGTTATACCATCTGTGCCAGGAAGCTTAGCTGAGAAGTAGCTTAGGAGTGTGTACCTTACTCATCCTATGTGCCCTCAGCTTTACTGAAAGACACATTGTGCTACTGCTCATTGAAGGGTGGTTCCTAAACACTTAGCACAACTTCTAAGCTATAATAAGATTAATCTCATAGGTAAGATGATAATCGGGCAAATATCAAAATTCCCAGGCTCAAGTTCTCTAGGGCCAGTACCAACATGAAGCAAACCAGTTCCACTTCCTGTTTAAGTTTGGTTATTTCCAGCTTGTGTTTCTTCAAAATGAGCATAGGATTTCATTCTTCTGCTACCTGTGAAAACAAGTTGAGTTTTTAAGCACTTCTTCCTATTATAGTAAGAGAAATAACAAGCCCGGTCTACACAAAACGTGTTTCTTTAGGTTTACAAAGGACTAGTATCACTTGCGTAACTGCATTTCTATTTGGTCATTGTGAGTGAGCAGAGACTACTTGATGCAATGCATCCATTCAGAGACATAAATATACAGAAGATATTTATTGAGATTAAGTTATTGTTATTTATTACAGTTCAGTAATGAGTCTCCTTATTTATTAAAGTTTCTTTTTGAAGGTGCCAAAGTAGATGGTGCTTGGAAGATACAGAGAGACAATGAAGTTGGGAACAACAGTCTATACTTTTGATTGAAAGTGTTAACTTGAATGCAAAAAATCACTTACTTTACCTTTTTTCTTTTAAAGAAAATCATTCACAAAATGTAGTGCCAAAGCCTGCAGTCCTTCCTCCTGTTCACCACTACTTTTGAAAATTCCTGCAGTCATACATGTGCAGGAACAACAATGGCTCTGAATGAGTGAGGGTCACAGGGCTTGGCTCAACATTAGTGATTTGTTAGAAAAACTAATTCTAGTTGTATTTTAAATGTAGCTACATATTTTTCTCACACTTCTTGCCGACTGACCTCATATAACTATTGACAAATGGAAAGTAATCACATTTAGCCTTATAATTTCTTGTTATATTTATTTAAGCTTTTCCTTCAGTATTTCCATATAGAAGAGGTTAAACCCTCTTACTAGTTAGCCCTGGATTTAATATAGCTTGCAGGTAAACAATTGTGTTAAATAACCAGAGTGTTATGTATAATTTGCTGAAACCTCACAGGATTGTACCCATGCAGCAGAACAGTCTGAGTTTCCTGAGGATGAGGGAGGTTGTAAAGCAAAGGCATTCATACCTGACCACTAACACAAGCTCTCGTTCTGGAGACCTTTTTCCTGAAGGAGCAGCAGGGCAGGTCACTAGACATACCTGACAATCAGTGAAGCATCAACTCCCACAAAAACAACAGGAAAAAAAAAAAATCCATACCAAAACCCAAAAAACAGTGGTCCAACCTTTTATCTCATGCATGCAATGACTCTCCATGCTCATTTTACCCTGGGGCCCCTTAGGGGGGGGTGGTAAAGAAGGGTGTAGAAGTCAAAAAAGTCCAGAACAGGCATAGAAAGATGTACCATGTATATGAAATACAATTCAGCTCCAATCTCTGTTGCTTTCCCATGCAGATGAAGGGCAGTCCCAGAGCCCACCCACAGGGTCCATTCTTGCACTGCCATGGGAACACCTTTTCTTCCACACGGGGCAGGGGTGGTACAGCTGATACCACCACCAGCAAAAATGCAAAAAATGTGCACTTTTGGGGCAGTAAAAGCCTGCTAAGCTGAGGGTCAGCTGTGCTTCTGGGTAGCTGACCAGCGGCCGCACTCAGAGGCATGCTTTCATTTGCCCCAGTTGCTGAAAACTTGCTCCAAAGCATTTCTGTGCAGCTTGAAGGGGATATAAACAAACAAATCACTATGTTCAAAATACAAAAGGGTAAAGTTTGTGATTTTTTTTTTTTTAATTTTTTTAGACCTTACTGAAGACAGGAGCGTGCTTCTCGAGTTTTTTACTTCACCTGCAATTTATGTCTCAGTCATTTATGTTAAACAACCAAAGTTCTCTACAGACTTTATTTTTGTACAATATTCATTTTATAACTTTTTACAAAATAAAACTCATTTCTATTGTTACCTGGTTGTTGCTTGTGCTTCTTTCCCATTCCCACTTCCAGTTTACAATATTGCCAGATTCCCATCCCACACGGGACAATGCTGAAGAGCCAGCAAGTCCTCTATGCAATGGAGCTTTCCTATTTTACCAGTGTATTTAATGTGGATCAGAGATGTCTGAGGCTTCTTAGCAGAATATAATATTAATGGGCCATTGCAATAAATTACTTGAAAATGCATGGTAAGCAGTGACACAGGAATCAACCTAATGGCAGGCTTGAAGTTGTGTTACCCAAATAGTCCCTTGCCCCCCTGGGTCTGCAGTGGCTTCATGATGGCCTTGGCTATACATACAATTCCTGCACTTGGAGGGGATTTGCATTTTGATTTGCTAACCCAGGCATTAAATCAGTTGGACTACATTCCATCCCCTTTGGCAGTCCTTTTCCCTTCATCTTTAAATAGGAAAATACAACTTGAGGAATTTTCTTTTCCGCCACCATCATGGAAAATATGAGGGCAGGTTTTGTGGCTGTGGCCAACATTTTCTCAACTGTTTTGTATTAAGTGCTGCAGTTACCATCACAGAGCCTATAAATGCCTGCAGACTTACAGGTTTTGACACCAGGCTCTGTACTCCTCGAAACTGCTACAGAGAGGAAGAGGGAGCATCTGAGCAGTGAGCCAGGGAGCAGAAGATCAAACACTCTTTCTCGTAATGTACAACATATGGATGCCTTGGCTTCATTTGTGCCGAGCGAGGCCATGCACACAGCTCTAGGCCAGCCCCTGGAACACAAAGCAAAGCTTGCAAACACTGCCTTTGAAGCACATGGTATTGAAGGCATTCCTTCTCGCATGCCACCACCTCCGCTCCTTGCAGCAGAAGCCCATCCACCATGCACGAAGGCTGCTGACTGCAGTCTGGTTAAATACGGCACATATTAAGTGTTTGGCATGAAAATGACCTGCAGCTTCACATTCAGCAGAGCACTTTCCTGAGCTAGAGGGGGTGTCTATGTAAAACACAACCGCGAGGTTCTCTGAAGATCAATCTCTGATCTTATAGCCCAAACATTCTGTCACCTCTTATGTGGATGGGGAAGCACAAAGGCCATTGCTGAAGTCTTGCCTGGCCTTGTCAAAGGCTTTGAGTGGGCCACATAATAGCTGACTGGAGCAGTTCTGTTTGCAAGGAGCTGTTTCACCCTCCTTCCCCAACCTTCCTGGTGAGGATAATACTGGAGAGAGCAGATGGGGTTTTGCCATTTCAACACCAGGCTCACCACATCTGAGCTGGCACCTTCAGCTTCATTTTCTGGTTAAAGCAAGGCTTGTGCTATTTCCTTGTCACCCTGCATGCGTTAAAGCAGCTTGAAACCTTCAGCTGGCAGGTTCATAAAAGATTTCAAAAAGAGCTTAAACCTTCGTTTTTCACTAGGTAGTGCCAGCACTGGGACAGGCATTAGGTTTCTGCTTGAGAAGCAGGAACAGCACTGCCCTGGGCCCCTGCTGGAAGATGTGTCTCAAGTTAGGTAATTTATTTATAAGGGAGAGGATGGACCAAACCCTGTAATTATTCACACTTACTCGATTTTAATATCTGGAGGATGTTAAGTTTTAATACTTGATATCTTGACAAAGATGTTTGGGGTATTTTTTGTTATATATAGCATTGGGGTTTGTTGCATGAGTTAGTATTATGCTGCCAGAGAAGAAGGGCTGATTAGAGACTTGGGACAAATTATGAACGTCTAAGGAAAAAGCATGTATTTTGCAGGAGGGCATATTTAGTGATGCAACTTGGAAATGTGGCCCTCAGAGAGTCTCTTCCAGCAGAAGGGATTGCGTCTGTGTCCATCCCACAGGCAGTATCACCCACAGGCAGGGCATCAGGAGAGAATACTACCAGGTCCTTGTGCAAGCTCTCCATGTGCTCCATCCCACAACTGTCTGGTGGTGGTGGTTTCAGCAAAGAGAGGATCAAGTAGGAAAAACTGTGTTTGATCTTGAGTCATTTCACCTCTGCCCACAAAAGGGGAGAAAGGCCAAAGGCAGCCAGTGCCTCTGTCTGTAACAGTGCAGGAGGAAACCAGCAGCAGCCTCTCTCCTTGCAATCTGGATAACTAAAAATACAGAGGAAAATATCAGGATGAAGAAAACAAATGGAGCTGACACATTGTATAAATAGGTCTTCAAATGTCATGCATGGCTGGAACAAAGATGTTTTGTTCCAAAGCAAGAGACAGCTTGAGACAGCTCAGTAATACACATTGAGAAGTTTGCTTATTTGGACCAGAGCTCTTCTAATGAAAAGGTTAATTGTGTTGCAATGGAAAAGAAAAAAGGCAAAGCAGAGGCCAGGCCTGCACTCCTCACCCTAGCAAAATGTCCCACTGGCTTAAAGTGAAAATTTTCTATAGCAAACATCACAGGACTGAGCTACTAACTTACAATAAATTATACTGTAGGTATATTCATGGGTCAATAAAAATAGCTAAACAAACCATATATTCTAGCAGTATTAATCCCAGCAGCTTTCAGACAAGCTACAGCAGATGCCAGTGAGAGGAACATGGTGCTCAGCTCAGTCTGATGCCCGGAAGTTTTCTTGGGCAGGCACCAAGTGCCAGTACTCAAGGTCAGCACCAAGACGTCTTCACTCATGGTTGGCTTTTTCACTTCCAAACTGCCACATTTCGTTCACTTTTCCCAAAGCATATCAGTCACAAGTGTGGAAACATTTCCATTTTGCAGCTGAAGAAATGGCAAAAAACACAATGGGCTTTTAAAGGCTTCAGAGGACTTCTGTAACTACCCACAGCACTGAACTGTTGTGGGCAACTTCTCTAGCTTTTTGACATCAATCCCAGCCCTAGGCCGCAGGTATAGGTTTCTTCCCACTGTCCCAACCTTTGGTTTTCTGTCTGTCAGCACACTGGATGAGGAACTCTTCCTCTCTGTCACCCCAGGGAAGACACAAAGCCTGGCCCAGAGCTGCACACATCCTCAAATGATCCTAGCAGGTCAAAAGCCACCAACATCCTCACCAGAGATGCTCCCTTGACTGTCGTGGAGTTACTTCAGTTTCACAGGAACGTAAACAAGTGTATCAAAACTGGAGATTTTCTTGTACAATCCTCTTAGTCTTTCCATTTCAAGTTTCTCTTACCTTATTTCATGTGTCCTGGGATTTCCAGAGCTTCAAGACATTTCACTGTGCTCATACCATGTTGCCACTTCCCCCTTCTTTTCTCCCTCTCTTGTTGCTGTTCTCCCACAGTTTTCTCCTCCTTGACTGTCTCATTACTCCCATATTAATCTCTGGCATCACAGATGCTGTAAACATGTCCAAATATACTCTTATTTCAGGTTAAAATCATTCCCCTCTGAGATACAAGCAGGGGTCAACAGGCACTTCTTGTTAGCATTTGGTATTATTTTTAATAGCAGCTTTAATCTGAAGATGAAAAATTTCCTTTAAAAACCCCCACAGCTTAGAGATCAACTTTGGATAACTCTGAATTTTGAAAGATGCAGAGACTCCTTTCCCACAGGACTAGGCAGATTCTCTGGAGCCGAGACTGGCTGCACAGCCAGTGCAAGGATGAAAATCTCCCAACACTGCATTTCTGGTAGTGGCCCTCAGCTAGGAAAGGAAAGAGTAGAATAAAAATGCAAATTGGGAGTGGTATTTTCCCTGGAAACCCCACCCCTGCTCCAATAATTTAGAGTTCGGGAACTTTCTGAACCAAATATTTTATCAGTGTCCAACAGCCCTTGGCAGGTCTTTCTCCCTGGGAAGGCACCCAACATCCTCCTCTATGAATTTATTCTTTTGGGCTCCCCTGTGCTCTGGGGGAATTTAATTCTGTGCAATGCAAGCAAGTGCTTCTCTGCTGGCACTGAACGTCCATTTCATGAATTGCCCACTCATTCCTGTGCCTTAATGAGTTGCCAGTCGTCCTTCATAGTCCACATGGGTCTATCCAATCTGAGGAGCCCTCATATCTCTCACCATCCATGTCTTCTCTCTCTCTTCCAGTAGGACCATGTTCCTCCTGAGGGGAAGGTGTCTCCATCAGGATGCTAGATGAGAGCAAATCCTGGATTTTCACAGAGGCACACTGATATTTTCAGTTCTATTTTCCATTCTGTTTCCAATTCCTTTCAGGTGCTGGATGGGGATCTCATCAGAGTAATAACTTCAGAGGCAACATGTCGCATCCTTTTAGGAATCCCTGTCATTTAACACCCAACTTTCTTGACAGATATCAGGTCTGAACTCAACTAAGTCCAACTGTGTCAGTCTATACAATGTATCATGTGGCAGCCAAAATAAGATTTTTACTGATGTGAAACCATTGTGTGCAGTTGCTGTGGAGCTAGAAGGTATTGCCCCAGGGCTGGGTCACTGTGCAGTACCAACAGATACCCACCTACCAGAGCTGTCAATGCATGGAGACCCCAGGTCTCCAAGGCACCTGTCTGACTTAGGAACAAATCTTGGGTTTCGTTCACAGAAAGTTAATTAAAGGGATCTTGTCTTTTGGGAGCTACGCAGAGAGTTGCCTTATATCATAAATGACCATAGACAATAATTTGGCCTTTCCTGAAAACAGTAGTTACTGAAGGCAGCGATATGACAGTAGCCCAAAGACAAGAAACTGTGACCAAGTGCTGCTGCAAACAGGGGGTTCAGCGAGAACCCAAAATGTGGTACAGGCCACCCCACCAAGCTGTGAAGATTAGTGGAAAAGGGCGTCTGTCAGGCCAGGAAACCAGATAAATGCAAAAACATATCCAAAAGAGAAATTTTCTGTGGCTTTCACATGGGCTGGGTGCCTACCACGTTGAAGAAATTAAGATGAACTAAGAGGCAGACGTTTGGGACAAGCTGAACAAAGTTCTGCAGCATTTTTTTCTGGTGTTTATCTAGGAGGTTAAATTCTGCTAACAGCAAATTTTTCTCTATCAAGGATATTTGGTTTCATTTCAG